TCGCTCCTTCCTTCCTTCCTTCCTTCCTTCCTCCTTCCTTCCTTCCTTCCTTCCTTCCTTCCTTCCTTCCTTCCTTCCTTCCTTCCTTCCTTCCTTCCTATTGTTTTCAGCCTGTTTACCTCTTTGTCCCCCTGGTTTTTGCTCCTATGTTTTTCTTTTCCATTGTTGCTTCCTTTTCCCTTTTCCCCCAATTCTTTGTCTCACTTTTTTTCTCTACTCCCATTTCCCTTTTCTTGTTACTACTACTTCTTGTTCTAATTTTTATTTTTGTTTTTTTCACAATCTTAAATCTTAGGAGTTCCGTTGCCACTAAGGGGGCATAATGGGTTAGTGCTTTTATTTGTCTGGCAATTTTCTTGAGAGCAAAATATCTCCTCATGTTCTTCCTTCTTCTCTCTTATGCATTTCGGAAACTAAAAAACTGGAATTGCCACATAACCACTATTAGCTGGGTATTATAATATTGAGTTTATATTATAGTCCTAGGATTGCCAGTATTGAAATTATGGTGAAAAGGTAGACTTTTAGGTCTAAGTTTTTCTTTTTCAGGGAGTATTGTGCTTCTTTTGTGAAATCTTCTACTGCTTTATTGTTTTAAAGACAGTTGAAAAAGTGTGTGTATTATCCCCAGTGGAACCATTAAAAGAAACTCTGAGCGAAGCACAGAAGCAAGAAACAGCTTTCTGTGAAGAAACATCTCAAATACCATCAGAAATAATGCCAAAGCATGTTTACAATTTGCATAAACAGACAATATTAGAGACAAATCTTCAGAGATGTGAGTTTCCATTATCTACTTTCAATAAATCTCTAAATATTATTGATAGACTTTGGGAATAGGTGCTGGTTTTGTGGCCACATAACTGTGCTAATAGACTCACGTCAATGCATCTGTTCTTTCCTGAAAAGTAAAAAGATGAGGTATGAATTGGATGCCAAATATTAGTTAATACATTTCCTCCTTCTGAAATTGGAGTTTTGTCTTTGACTTTACAGAGTAAACCAAAGAATGCAAGAATGTATTCTAATGTTGTAGGATATAAATCCTCTTGAATTCACTGGAATGTTCTTCTAAGTAAAACATGTCAATATTACCATAGTAATGTTGTATAATTTATCGTTATTATAATAATTGTTGTATAAAATATATAACAAGTGGAACCTGCAGCAAAATACAAACAGTGTTAAGTGCTTCTGTTTGAATGCCATTACTTTCCCTCTCTGATTTCCCTCCCACTAAAGCAGTCAGCATTCTATGGTGTCATAGCCTTCAGAAATGGTCTTGAGAAAAGAGAAGACTTAGAATGCCCCTCTGTCAGAAGAGGAAATAAAAATTTCATCCAGCTCACTAGAATTCAGGCACTTGTATATGTAGGCACATTGTAGACTTTTCTACAAGAAAAAGCCAGGCTTAAATAGGGATTAGTGCTTCATACTTAAAAGTCCATAGCTAGAGCTTCCATGACCAGGAGCGCTGTCATGATCAGTCTGCATTTTCAGAACTGCCAGTTTCAGGAGCCTCCAGGCTTGTATGCAAACTCACTCATTCTTTTCCTGAACTGCATTTAATCATTAACCTTGATGTTATTGCCTCCACATTACGGATACTCTGATTCCTGATTTGTTTCAGTTCTGCTGCTGGATTTCAGTTTGACTCTCATTAGCCTGAAGAATTAACCATTCATAAGATTAATTAAGATTCATAAGAGTCATTTCAATGAGATGGGCGGTAACAAATTTGTTAAATAAATAAATAAATAAATAAATAAATAAATAAATAAATGGTAAATAAATGGTAAATAAAATAAACGAGCTGCTGCTGGTATCATTTTAAGTGTATTAACTCAAAAGAGCCTTTGCCTTTTTATTATGTATTATATACTGTATGTTAAATGATCTTTAACATTTCTCCTTCCAATATAAAAGATTCTTTGGTTTATTTCAGGCAGAATGTGGCATTTCCTGCATTTCTCCTATTTGCCTTTTTTTTCCTTCCGGAAGGCAAACTTTGGTATTAACCTTAGTATTAGGAAGCTGACTCACTGCCATGTCCCATGCCTTCCAAGCCATGAATTACAAACAAGTAATTAGAACTACCAATTGGATCTACAGGCAAATTTGCCCCATGTTGCAGATAGCATGTGTTACCAGTGAGTTGCAGTTTGAAGAGCAGCATAAAAATAACTAATAATAATTTGCTCTATGGACATTTTGTTGGATCTAACTATTTTCATATACATGATACCTGCAAATAACATTATTACATTAGTTCTCACCATTTTTTCTTTTTGGTTAGATTCTTACATTTATGAAGGAAAGCTAGGAAAATATTCTGAAAAAGACAGAGTATTCAGGAAAGTCAAGGTATCATCTTATTTAATATAGAATTACTTTAAAGCTTATTGCTCTCAATAGGGGAATAAAACATTTCTGTAACAATCATTGTAACCAATAAGCATGCTTAATTTTGGTTGGGTTATGTTATTATTGTTAAACATTTTTCCAGTATGATTTTAAAAGATTTTTCAATAACTTACTACAAATAGTAATTTTCCAAAGATAAGGAATAATAAATTAGATCCAGCACTTACTGGGCAACTACCCCAGAGTCAGGAAGAAGAGATCCGCAATGTCTCTACATCGTACACTCAAGACGGCATAGTAATTAGAAAACAACAAACAATACAGCAGGAATAAGGCAAGAAAAGAAAGAGAAGCATAAGAAACAAAGTAAAACTAAAAGAAAAGAACTACATTTGATTTTCCTCTGATCCCTTTGTTTACAACTATGCAGCCATCTATATAGCACTTATATATCAGCCTACTCTCTCCTGTCGTCTAGATGCACTGGGTTAAAAATACCCAAAGTCAATTGTGGCTTAGATTATGGCTTAGTCTAGTATATCTGGAGAACCCCACGTTGTGTATCATAACATATTTTTGTGTTCAGATGCATAAAATGATTCTGCAACATTTTATGTAAATAATAACAATGTTTACATCATTATAAATTCATTAGTCTTCAAGTGCCATGGTTAACATTACCTGGATAATTGAAGATTTGAGAAAAGTAATTTTTGTTCTGATTGGGTTTCATTTTATTATTCTATCCTTGCTTACTTATATTTAAATTGCTATTGCTTTTTTTATTCATAGGATAGAGGCAATGATAAGGGAACTTGAGTTAAAAAATTGTTTTAAAGAAATATTCCTGATTGTGTTGGCTGAACAGGAAGTACATTCTTGGGAGATAGATTAAGCTCCCATGCCCACCGTCCCCCGCAAAAGTCTTTGGAGGAAACCTTTTGAACTACTATCTTGAATAAGATTTTTAAATAAAATTTACAACTCAGCCCCACTATATACATAGTCGATTGAGATGTTGCCTCTAGGATCCATCATGTGTGCAGAGCAGATCCTGCTGCCCTAATGCTGTATCATAGGCATGCATTTGCAGGCTTGTGTATTTCGGAAAGTCATTAGAACAATCCTTATGAGCAGGTTAAGTCTCCATGGACCCAGGAAAGCTAGTTAGAGCTAGGCTGCAGAGTAAGGTTCATATTCTGTTGTCCTTAGCTAAGACTTACCAGGTTGCATACACTCCATTTCTTAATTAGCGTAACCCATGCAATGTAATGCTTAGGATTCTTTTTTCTTTCTTTGCTGTGTCGTTATAAATCAATACCACCATGGAACTGGGCACAGTTGTGTATATTTAATAAAATGATTTCAATGTTCAGTTATGTAAATAGATTATTGGCCATTGCACAATACAAATAAGGCATCTGTGACTTATTTCACTGTGTAATAATTAGATTTCTGATTGCCAGTTTATTGCATGAATGTGGTTAATTAATTGCATGCATTTGTTTGAATATTTGGCCCATAGCATCCTATGGAGACGATCTCGTCTGGAGAAACAGCCACATACTCAGGCTTGACTGAAATACAGAAAAAGATGAAGGTCTTTGAGTTTTATTTTTTCCTATATTTTATACCTTGACTTTTGGAGGACGCTGCTCTTAGAACACAGTCCAGTTCAAACCTGAACAAAAATAAACGCTCCTGAGAATGCAGACCTGATGACTGAATGTTGCATCGCTTTCTAACATTAGCAGCTCTTTTGTGTCTCAAAGCAGATATGGACAATTAAGACTGTGCCACTCAGTGCACCTACATCATGCTAC